TCACCTGCGGATCTCGTTGCAATGCACATTCAGATTCCATGGATCGCAGGAAGGGCCTGAGAATCTGCATTTCTAACAAGCTCCCCTGAGGCAGAACAAGCTTATGCTGAATCAGTTAAAAGTAGTCCCCAGGGCATGCACTTTAGAAGAGAATCATATTCCTTCTCTGTATCTGTAGCTATACCTTTTGTTCATAAAGTCTTACCCAACACAGAACTTCTTCTGCCTACCCCTAGCCCCTGCTTGCCACCACCAGTTTAAGTAGGAGAGATGTTGAGATTTTCTCATAAATCAAGTTTGAAGTGTCACTATTTATCCACTTCTATTCACAGTAAATGCTTCCCTCTCTCATGCTGCCAAGTCTGTGCTTCTGCGTAATCACACGGGCCAAAGGACCCAGTGGAATTCAGGGGAGCATTGAGGCAGGAAGAGGAGGAAACCTTGCTGCCCTGTGGTGCTTCACTTTTTAAAACCCATCTTGTCCATTTACTTCCTTGTCCTGTCAGCCTCCAGACTGTCTCAGGCTGCTTCTCCTCACTCACGCGACCCTGTCTTTTTTTCTCTCTTCACCTGACAGCCCTTTGCTCCGGTGTCTATTCTCACATTTTCCTGTCTCTCCCACTGTCACTGTCATCATATTGACCCCCAAATATCTGGGACCAATGAACACAAACACAAATATAAACGGATGTTCTAATGTAAAAATTCTTCTACTCTATCCACCCCATTACTTTTCCTCACTACACACTTCTATTTGTTAGCTGTACAGATCAGTCTTTTCAGTTTCAGGCCCCCAGGATAGGCTCTGAGTAACTAGTTAATAGGGATAACAGCGTGATTTAAGGTTTTATTAGCCTTGACACACTGTTAAAGGCCCATCAACTTACAGTGCTCTGGTCTTCAGACTGCACACGGCAGCATGCTGGGGTTCAGTAGGGAACTCACAGAGCACCAGGAATATTTGAAAATTTCCAGGGAAATAGCAATACTTGACACCTTGGGAATTACTAGCTCAAGATTATTCATGGCGTCAACAGCAGGTGGCGCTACATGCCCTTAATGATGTCATGCATATGCAGCTTGGTTTCACACCCCACTGGCCGTTAAAAGCAAGCACAGTGGAAAAAAAATGAAGTGGAAAAGGAAATGATGAGATGTTGTCCAATTTGAGAAGTTGTGCAGTGTCCGATAGGAGCACACAGTCCACTAGGAAGTAACCATGGTTATTTAAGAAAGCAAGAAAAATTTTTTTTTTCCTCTCTCAATTGGTGTCTATTTTTTTCAGTTCTTTATTTGTGAGAGCATATAAACTTAGGTGGTTTGGACTGGAAAAAAGTAGAAGAATGTACAGAATTAATAGGTATTTCTTTGGACCTAAGGATACAAAAAAAATTGAAACATTGAAAAATTGAAAAAAAAAATTGAGACATTAGGGGCATCATGAATTGAGAAAGTTTTTGAACCGTGTTATACTCTAATCTTTTTTTTTTCCCCTTCAAGTTTTTTGACCTCATTAACTGATAATCTCATCAAGTATCTGCTTTGTTCGAAGCCTATGAAATGTAGACTAACTTGTCCCCAAATGAAGGGCAAATACTTTTTTAAATTTATTTTTATTTTCTGGTCTATTCTTAGTTGAGTTTAAAACACACACACACTATAGTCTAATCCTTGAAAGATGGAGTTGGGAAGACTGTACTGATACCTCATGGGCACTTCATACACATATTCAATGTGGCAGTGCTGGCAGCATCGGCAACTTCAACTAATGCCTTTGACTTTTTTCTCCATCTGGTAGTCTCCTCCGTGTTATAACTTCAAGGAGGTGAGACAGAGGCAGTTGATAGTGAGGTAAGGAAATCTCTCTAGCTCCCATTAAAATGTCTAAATCCACTAACCAAGTCGAAGCAGTGATTGCAAAGGCATTTTGCCATTAGCTTTTACATTTTCCACCCCCCAGAGATCTGTTAATTATCTCATTTTACTTTTCCATAGATATCAAAATCGATATTCCAGTCCAAAGCGATATTCCAGTCCAATCAAAGGATTGATTTCACAGAGTATATACAATGAATTTTTCACCAATTAAATAATAAAGACTGTGCACTGACTGTGTGTAGGCCACGAGCGCCTGTCACACTGCATTGCCACTCCGTGGGGAGGCAGTGCTGCATGCATTTAGTACTAAGGGACGTGTGCCTGGAAAGGCTAGTGACTTGCTCTGGGCCACACCATGGGGTGGGCAGCACAGCCATGCAGCCTTGGTCTGCTGAGTCTACAGTTTGGCGGTATCACATCCCACAATTATAAAACTATTTTCATGCCATGATATCCACTGCTACTTCTAGGAGCCTGAAATATCCCGGCCTTTCTTTTAAAATACTGTTTTTTTTTAATTATTTTATATAATTCTTACATCATTTTTCATTTTTGCACAATGTATGCCTTTTCATTTTGGTTATATTCCCCATACAATTGCACCCCTCCCTTGTTTTGACCTAATCCTTCCTCTCCTCCCCCCCCCACCAGTGTAATATGTCTCTGGTTTATAGTTGCTTGTTGATTTTGATTTTTACTTTGTATTAATTAGTCTTTTTCCTGGTCCCTTATTTAGGTTTTCTAAATTCCTGCTACGAGTGAGACCATCTGGTATAAAATACTGTTATTTTTGATGCAAAATGGCATTGAGATTTGAGAAGGAAGGCTGGAATGTAAAAGGGTTGGGAGAATCAAGTATTTAGACAGAGCATTTTTATAAACTTAATCTCTTATGGGCCTCCCTGGTGGCGCAGGTGGTTGAGCACTGCACTGTGAAGCTGTCCACAGCCTCTGCAGCACAGGCTCGATCCCAGCTGGCCGCAGCGATCCCCACATCGCGTAGCAGACCTTTCCTGTCTCGCCCACTACTCCCCTCAGCAGTGTGTTTTGTCAGTCTGCCTGTTCTGTTACCTGCTCTGTCTCTGGTGAATCCTCTCACCCTCCTGCGCATCTGGCCTATATCCCAGCACTTGTAAAATTAAAAATAAATCTTTAAATAAAAAAAAAATTAATCTCTTATGACAATAATGTTATTTGTATTGTAGAAAGTGCTTTTAGAATAAGAATATTGGGGCCTCCCTGGTGGCGCAGCGGTTGAGCGCTGGGTTGTGAAGCTGCCCGCGGCCTCTGTGGCGCCAGTTCGATCCCCGGCTGCTCCCCGGCCACCAGAGGAGGGTCCCACATGGCGCACAGACCTCTCCTGCCGCCCGCTGCTCCCCTCAGCAGTGTGCTTCAGTCCTTCTGCCTGCTCTGCTCCCTGCTCTGGCTCTGGTGAATTCTCTCACCCTCCCGCGCTTCTGACTGTACCCAGTGCTTGTATAAACAAAACAAAATAAATAAATAAAATATGTCTCCATTAAAAAAATTAAAAAAAAAATAGAATAAGAATATTTGATTTTTTTTTCAACCATTCCACTATGAATGTAGTGCTATCAAATGTACAAAAGAAACAGAGGGAAGTACAAGGAAATGAACTGTCTTTCTTCAGCAGTCACACAACGTGTGAATTCACACAAACACAAGGCTGGCCCTGGGGTATCTCTGTTGATGTTCACCCTTCGCTGAATATTTCCTCTCCTATTTTATTCCACATTAATAATTCACTCCACTGGAAAAATGCCTGGTTACCTCCACCCAAGCCATGGTTGTCTTTACTTCAGTTATAGTGGTAAATACTTAAAGAGAATATTGCACATAGTTACTCAGGCATATTTGATCACAGATTGAAGTGAGGACATGCAGCCCTCGGAATCTGCAAAACAATGCTATTTGCGTGATGCCCTAATATAGATGTTTTAAAACCATAGCTGTGACCATAAATGAAGACATTTTATCATCTTATAGCAAGTCATTCCTAGTTTGTGTAAAGGGTGTGTGGCAATTATTTTTCTTGTCAATACCACATTATGAAACACAGAACTCGCAAAAATCAAGCCGGTATCTTTGTGTGTGTGTGTTGTTTTTTTAAAACAGTAAAGTATGTGGATATTCCACAACAAGAATGGAGCTGATGATAAAATTTCACTGAAACTCATGATGACAGGGTAACCAAGCTGTTCCCCTGACTCAGCTCCCATAATCTGGAAGAGCTGTGTAATAATTGATGCCTCTTCATTCTACTTTCTGGAGTCAATAAAATGGCTGGATGATATTTGGAAACAGCACCATTCCATAACCATTTTTCTCTTGTGTGATTCTTGCCACAATTAATTAAATCACAAGCATTTAAATGCCTGCCTCTTGCCAATTATTTGGGACAAAACGAGACAGCGGTAGCAAAGACCACCAAGCCTAAGGCAGAGGTGGTTGTCAGGAAGAGGGCTCCCTCTGGTCAGAAAGGAAATAGTTAATTTGAAACTGGCCAAAGTACTGAAGCTCAGAATATTTGCCTTCAGAACGAGAAAAAAAGAACCTTCCTTTCCTTACAGCTTAATCATGCTATTCCTATTTTTAATACATCCTACTTCATAGAGTAGCTGGACCACATTTTTCAAGCTAAAGTAAAAATTAAAGGATTTATTATAATCCTATACGGATGGTTGTGGGTGTTTCCTTTTCAACTGGAGCATTTTCTCGCTCATTGTTGCAGTGTTAACATCTCTCAGCTTCTGGCTCCAGTCTTCTCCCTGAAACTACTCAAGTGCAAAAAAAGTCATACCAGATATGCAACAATTCTTACTGTATTGGGCAATAGTTCATCTCCTTCCCATCTATTTATTAGATGTTACTTGTCAGGCTTTTCTTGGGAGTGCCTGTTAGCATATTTGAATTTTTAAATTTGTAAGGATGATAATAAGACTACAGTTAACCTAGTATTTTTCAAACTTGGTCAGGTAATTGTTTTTCCCCTCTCCTAGACCCTAATAACACTTTTGGACAGGTTAATTAAGAAGCTCTGGGATTTATATTTAATAGAATATAAGAATAAAAGCAGAACGGCAGAGCGCCCAGTGGAATCCTACCTTGCCCACATACTGATAATCGGATCCTGTGTATTCCTCCAGGAGAAAGAACTGATTCCACATCCAACTCCTTTTTGAACGATTCAGCTCATTTTTGCTGTTTCCAGAGAGCTCCAGGGCCCTTTTCTTTGCTGGGAGACCACTAGTCCTCTTAGATAATGGACTTGAGAAAGTTGGATAGGGTTGGCCAACCCAAAAGAGTAGCAAGAAGTACCGGTAAGTTCTCATTCTGATGACACAGTCCAGGCTCTGGGTAGTGAGTGTCCTCTCCCTTTTTCACTGCACCGTGTCCAGCCTCATTTCTTCCTCAATGCTCTCTGCTGGGGTCTCAGAGGATATCTGGAAAGAATAACATATCAAGCATTTTTAGAGATGCTAAAAATTCAATTTTAGAGCAAATGAAAGAGGACAGAATTTTGAATAGCAAAACAAAAATAAGTTGGCTATCAGCTTTGAAATGAGGAAAACGGTCTCTCAGATATGCTAAATGGAAGGCGTGTGCCAAGTAGGAAGCTGCTGTTTCTGTCTCCTTTTCTGCCACTTAAACATCCGCTGTTAAGTCCTGGCATTGCTCTAGGTCAACATGCCAGAGTGGATTATTTTGCTGTTTTATCTTGGAGTACTTTAAGGGCTGAGATCTAGTTAGAAGAAACAAGTTTGTGTTTTTGATTCTATTTGCATACTTGTCCTCATGAACAAGTCTGAGACAAACAATATTGCAGACACTTTCAGTTCAGTTGAAAATGGATAAGGTTGAAATTTCACTGAGCATGTGGAGCACCTGCGATGTGTGGGCATCAGTCAAGGCAGACCCTTTCTGCAGACTCTGGCTCTGGTGCTGTGAAGGACCACTCTGGGTCAAGTAAGTTTGGAAAAGAGCATGCACCTTTTCTTGGGAGTGCATGTTAGCATATTTGAAGGATGTCAGCAATTTGTAAGGATGATAATAAGACTACATTTAACCTAATATTTTTCAAATTTGGCCAGGAAATTTTTTTCCCCTCTCATAGACCCCTAAAAACACTTTTGGACAGGTTAATTAAGAAGCTCTGAAATTTATGTTTAATAGAATATAAGAATTAAATGAGCAATTCTATACAGATTTCTTTAGGAAATCCTGTTTTTAACCTTTAAAGTTCACATGAATCATGAGCAAGTCAACCATACGTACTAAAGCCAGTCAGTTTCTAGGTAATTTTCCCAGATGTGTTAAAACTGTCAGTATCACAGTGAGGGCTGCAGCAACTTCAGAAAACTCAGTGATTATACTTGTAAATAGTAAGTAATTTCTATGTCAAATGTTAATTTTCAAGAACACAATCTGGCATTTTAAAAAAACCTGAAATATCCCCAGACCAAACGGCCTCCATTCCCTGCATCCATCTTTGTGGGCTCGGCAAAGATGTTGCCCATTAGTTTACTTTTCTTGTGTAACTGAAGTAACACTACATCTCCATCCTAAACTTTTCTGCATTTCTTAAAGTAAAATCCAACAAATTATTCCTTTATCTTAATCTTTGTTACCAGAACAATATTTTCTTAAGGAATAACTAGCAAAAAAAAATGAAGTGCTTTTAACGTAGAATGTAATAGTAATTAAACTCATAGACACACGTTTCAGATAATCTGATCAGAACTTTTTTCCTCTGTGTCAGAAAAGATTTGTTCACTTGTCTCATTATTCTACCAGGTAAATGTGATCTTTTCAACCCCAGCATTCAGTAATTTTAGCCACCCAACAATGGTGACTGGTGAAAGTTTTCTGTTGGCATCTAAGTGAAATATTTTACTGTGTTCAGCATTTAAAATCTTTATTCCATTATTATGTATCTTTTTGACAGCAGGCTGGGGAAGTTGAATATTCCACAGGTGAGTAAATTAGTTCGGTGACAATTAGTCATGCTGGAGAAATGCCAGGCAACAGTGTACTTGTCATTATGTGGTCTTAGTTCAGGTATGGAATGACTGATGATCAATTAGTTAAAGGCGATTCCTCTCTCTTCGCATGGATAGTATGTAACAGGGACTGAGACAGCACATGGAGAAAAGCCCTCTAAAGACGTCTTTTCACTTTTAGCTGGAGAGATTACACTGAGGTTGATTCTGTGGAAATTACATTTTTCTTAATTTCCACATTCTCCATTATTTGCATAGACAAATCCTGCAGTGAAGAATTACACGTCTGTTGCTGCACTCAGTGTGTGCCCCATGGTGCTGGCAGGAAAGAGGGATGCAGAGGATGGAGGTGTCAGCTGTTTAAAAGGCAGACTCCTAAAGGCCATTTAAAAGAAAAATCGATCCCTGTGGGTGTTGTGTGCAAACTCTACAAGCTGTTGCCACTTGAATATTAAATATTAGTTCTTTTTAATAACAGATACCAAAATGTCAAGTATTTAGTTTTTTTTTTTTGCTTAGTTGGTAATGAGTTTTTTTTTTTTTTTTTTTTTTTTTTTTTAATAGAGGCATGCTTTATTTATTTGTTTGCTGGTTTGTTTGTTTTTGTTTATACATGCACTGGGTACAGTCAGAAGCACGGGAGGGTGAGAGAATTCACCAGAGCCAGAGCGGGGAGCAGAGCAGGCAGAAGGACCGAAGTACACTGCTGAGGGGAGCAGCGGGCGGCAGGAGAGGTCTGCGCGCCATGTGGGACTCTCCTCCGGTGGCCGGGGAGCAGCCGGGGATCGAACCGGCGCCGCAGAGGCGGCGCGCAGTTTCGCAACCCAGCGCTCAACCGCTGCGCCACCGGGGAGGCCCGGTAATGAGTTTTTAAAGTGTTGCAAATTTAAGCAGTGTTTCCAAGTCTGCTAAAACATCTAGTTTGTTATAACCAGCTCTTTCTTTTTATCAGCTTGACAGGGTGTGTCCTTGTTAGAAATTTTATATGTAAAATTACTGTAATTATTATCATCCACTCATATTTGGTGTTAGCTCTTCTATAGGGATAGATTTCATTGTGAAACTCTATAGACAAAAAGAAAAACTCAACAAACTGTTCAATATGTAACTTAGTAATTCTCGTTTAATACTTCTTAATGGACAGGCTTGTGTAGTGGGGTTAAGATGATCAGCTCTGGAGCCAGACGGCCTGGGTTTGAATCCAGGCTTTGCCATTAGCTTGTGTGAACTTGGAAAAATTATTTAATCTCACTGTGCCTTTGGTTCGTCCATGAATGGGGATAATTATAGTAACTGCTTTATAGGATGTCGTAAAGATTAAATAAATCATGGCATGCAAAGCACTTAGAACAGTGCCTGGCCCTCAGCAAGGTTTTAATAAGTATTTGAGTCTTAACTATTGTTGTTATTACTATTATTATTCTTACCGTTATTTGCATTGTATCTATGTACTCCATTTAAAGCACACTGCAAAAGTCTGCAATAGCATAGTGCCCTCTTAGGATTATATAATTTTTTATTTTTTAAGAAGCATTTCCAAACAAGTCAAATTCTTTTAAAATTAAAGAATAGAAACATTTAAGAATCAGAACGAGCCCATTTGTGTGTGTGTGTGTGTGTGTGTATTTCAATGTAGGATTTCATGGGAATAGTGTAAAAATAGAGAAGTCAGTACTTTGTGCTTTATCCCCACTGCTTTCATGAAGAGGAATGGGTAAAAAGGCAAACTCATTGGAGGAGGAGTCATTTGTAGAATCTATGTATTTTTTCCTTTCCATTTTGTTATGTGAAAAAAAATCAGAGGCAGCTTCAAAATAGTACTTCTGCCATTGTAAAAATGGCACTAGATAAACTGTCTTCTTGTAATTAACATGCTGACATTAATACTGAATAATATGCTGACATATTATTTGAAGAGGAATTTGATGTAGTTAAAATGAATGATATATATAATTAGATTTTACTTAACCTAACAACATGAAAAAACAAACAAACCCACACACTTTAAGCATAACCACAGATGCCAAAATCCCAGAATTCCTAGGTGCTGAATGCCTTATGTTAAGCAAAGGAAGAAAAGGTTCCAAGGTAGCACGTCTTTGAGAAATGTGGGAAAGCTGCTGACTTCTGAGCAATTAAATGACAGAATCACAGCATTGCTTAGATGCAAGGAGTCAGATGTGTTGGCTCATTTTGTAGATGCCAGGAAGTAAACTTAAAGGACAAGGAAGTAAGGATATCCTAGTCACTAAATTTTAAAAGAGCAGGCATGTTTAGTCAATCAGGAAAGAAACAGAAGATTAAAGAGCAGGAGGGGAAAGAGTAGATATTGATACCTTTTGCCCTCTTATCAGGAAATTAAGAGCAAACCAGGGTGCTTCTCTGGTGACTCAAGGGGTTAGGCGTTAGCACTATGAAGCAATCTGCAGCTACTGCAGCACGAGTTCGATTCCCGGCAAGGGAGCTGACCCACATGGCGCAGCAGACCTCTCCTGTCTTACCCGCTGCTTCCCTCAGCAGTATTTCAGTCGTTCTCTCCCCACTCTGTCTTTGGTGAATCCTCTCAGCCCCCTCCAACACCTCTGGCCTACACCCCAGTTCTTGTATGCATAAATAAACAAATCTTTAAAAAAAGAGCAAATAAGGTAAAAATATCAAAACTCAATAAAAATAAAACTTGAACCACCACCTACCTGCAGTCTAATGACAGTTTAGCAATGGACTTCAAAGATTATTAAATTGAACACATTTTATTTTTCACTGAATTTTTTTAAAATCTGGATTTCTGGGGGAACTTTCTACTTCTTACAGGCATTTGTTATATGTCCTGAAACTTGATAGGCAGAAGTGGCTCATCCTGAAAAATAGTTTGGATCTGCACAGAAGCCTTATTTTAGTAGTGTGTAGAAGGTAATTAAGATGTTTATGGCCCACATAGCATTCATAATTGCATACTTTGAAATTTTTTTTTTGCCCAGCAGCAGATATGCATATATCCTGCAATCTTCACAAGAATACACTGTCAAGTCCAGCCCTTATTTTATGCATGCCGTTTAGGAGGAGCCTGGGCCTCATTAATTCAGGTTCTACCAATTTAGAATATGTGATAATTAATGCAGAAGCTGGGCTGAAGTTTTCCTTTGATTAGCAAAATCTTTTCCCCTAGATTATTGAAAATTAATAATGTAAAAATATTTCATAGACATATATAGAATGAGAAGACAAACAACAGTGTCCTCAAGTTCCCTAGGGCATTTTGGAATCACCTTTTATTGGAAAATAATTAACATGCTAATTAGAAAACTTCTCTGATGACTTACATTTGATAACAGTCTGAATGACTAAACTGTATTATCTGGTTTTGAGATACTGATTCTATTGTAATATTTATAGACAAACAAATAAGTAAATATTAGACAGATTTTAAGGCACTATAATTGCCT